GGGGGGGGGGGAAGCAAGAATCGTTTTATCAAGCCTATAGTAATCCCTAAAAAATTCTTTTGAAAGACCCACTTTTCATTGTGATGAAAATATTTTCATAAAGTGAGCCTCGTATTTTAGGCCAGTTCCACCAACCATGTTAGACATGCCAGTATTGGATTCATGAATCAACTAGCTCAAAGAGGATGGTATTTCAGGAAATAGTTTACATTTGGTTGTCAGCACAGTGAACTGACAAGTGGTAATTAAGTTTACCCAGAAAGAGATCCCACTAATTTCAGTGGAATGTGTTTCCAAACAAATGTACTAAAGAATGCATCTTTAGAATAATCTCCCAAATACAGAGCCTTGTGTGAGCATAATGGAACTTTATGGTTCCATTATGGTTTCCCAGTTCACTACAATGGGAACAGGTAACCATATATCGGGCTGTAACATCTATTGAAATGTCTTTATAAGTAGGGGAGCCTCTGCAGTCATACTGAATCACTGTTTGGAGTTGCTAGTTTCAATATAAGCAGGATATAATCAATCCAAAATCTTTGGATCTAGCTATCTATTTTTGCTAGAGCAACAATTTGTTCTATGTTCTGTTATTCCTAATCTTTCCTATCTTGATCCCTAGTATGTGGATTCTACCTTGGTCTAATTCTAACATGTCTAGAAGAAGATCAAGCCACTGGTCTTTGTGAGCATGAGTGGGATTGAGAAGAGATTCAAGTGCTCTGCTTTTCAGTGTAGTGAAACAAACACAGAGGTACATAAATGCAAGGATTTAGGATAACCCAACATGAGAGCTTTGGGGAAACTGCATAGTTGAGGGGGTGGTAAGGAATAAAGGAGATTACAGTCCTACAACTTTTGAAGGACCACACATTCCTTATCCTTGCTGAAACCACAAGGCATAGAACATATAATGAGAACTTAAGATTCAGCCAATAGATCTGGAAGTCATAATTAATTTGAGAAGGTTCACGTAATTGTTCCTCTGCTCTGATCTTGTTCTAGGAATCCAGTCACTTCATCTTTGGCTGCAATTGGCCCTGTGTAAAACGAGCTAAAGATCTGCATAAAGTATCCCCAGGGAACAGTGGGAGTGAATTGGACAAATCAAATCTAAAACATCTATTTCAGTTACACTTGCTATTCACTCTCTAATTTTGCTAGGCTTTAGATCAGGGGTGTCAAACTCAAATTCATCGGGGGCCGCATCAGCAGTTTGGTCCCCATCAAAGGGCCGGTTGTATCTGTAGGTCTTAACGACCTTCGCTTTGTGACCCGACAATCAGCTCTTCCGTGGCTTCGAAATGGCCACCGGAACAGCCGAAAGGGGCCGGGGTGCAGCGTTTTCGCGCCCTTGGTAAGCAAGGGGAGCGCGCGAAAACGCTGCCGGAAGCCCCGAAATGGTTGCGCGCAGCCATTTTGGGGCTTCCGCAGCGTTTTCGCGCGCTCCCCTTGCTTACCAAGGGCGCGAAAACGCTGCACCCCGGCCCCTTTCGGCTGTTCCGGTGGCCATTTCGAAGCCACGGAAGAGCTGATTGTCGGGTCACAAAGCGAAGGTCGTTAAGACCTACAGATACAACCGGCCCTTTGATGGGGACCAAACTGCTGATGCGGCCCCCGATGAATTTGAGTTTGACACCCCTGTCCTAGGACATCTAGAAGATTTATGAATGAAGTAAACTTTTTATAACATCAACTTTTTAAGCCATTTTTGAGGATATGAGATAGAGCATATTCTAACAGTATTTTTAAAAGCCACCCATGAGAAAAAGATTATAGACAACATCTTGCGTCCTAAGCTGCTTTTCCGTCCACACAGAAGAGTGGTTTTGCTAACTCTCCTGTCATTCTGCAGCCCTGTCCTCTACCCTCTGCCACTCTTCAAGATCTGAGGAGCAGATTTCCTCCCTCCTATTAGCCAGGCTACTTTAACAAAGTGAACACATTGTGCAGATTTTAAGGAAAAAAACAATGAATGTGTTTCTAAACATGGGGGCAACTTAAAATCAACTCTCTCATAGATTTCTAATTGTTACATAATCTCTTTTTCTCGAAAGATTATTGGTGAAATTTCGAAGAAGGTGGCACAAATTCAAAATGGTAAGTTTTTGATGAGTGATCAGTATTAATACCATATTTTTCCATGTATAAGGCTCCCATGTATAAGACATCCACCCACCCCTTTTCTAACCCAAAATTTCTTTCTTTGCAGGAAAGTGGAGGTGGAAGGCAGGGATCAAAGCGCTTTGATCTCTCCCCCCCTCCTTACTACAGTGTATAAAACGACCCTCAATTTTTCCTCTATTTTAGGAAAAAAGTGTCATTTTATACATGGAAAAATATGGTATTTTCTTGCATCTGCAGGGTGTACATTTGTTTAACATAGCTTAAAATTGCATCTTCTTATTGCTGCTGATGCTGAAGGGCTGCCAAAGGTGAAGTCTAGCTTTATGATGATGAACTGAAGAAAGCACGATTGCTTCAGAGCATTTATAACTGGGTACTGTTAGGAAAGGGGTCTGGAGTCTTTGGACTGCTGTGATTCCAGTATTTGGCAAGTCTATCTAAGTGCTAGCTTTGAATCAGATATTGGGTGAATGATTTTGATACTGCTGTGCTTCAAGTTGAAATCATGACTGGAATGGGTGCCCCTGATTTCCTTGTGGAGCAGATTAAAACACCTTTCTTTTAAAGGCAATATGATTGCCATTAAAGTTTTCAGGAGCAGAGCGACTGTAGTGATTTGGTAGAGAGGAATAAATGAATTGAATAAATACTTACAGAACTTCAGAACAGGAACTTCCCTTCAAAATCATCTTTTTTTCTCTCCTTTAAAAACAGCGGGTCTAGGTGAATTCAGAATTCGTGATCTGAATGATGAAATCAACAAATTGCTAAGAGAAAAAGGGCACTGGGAAGTCCGGATAAAGGAGCTAGGAGGACCTGATTATGCAGTAAGTATGTAGGTTGTAGGGTTGAGGGATGTCATGGTGCTGCGGGTTAAACTGCAGAAGCTTCTGTGCTGCAAGGTCAGAAGACCAGCAGTCGTAAGATCGAATCCACGTGACGGAGTGAGCTCCCGTCACTTGTCCCAGCTCCTGCCAACCTAGCAGTTCGAAAGCATGTAAAAATGCGAGTCGATAAATAGGTACCACCTTGGTGGGAAGGTAACAGCGTTCTGTGTCTAGTCTCACTGGCCACGTGACCACGGAAACTGTCTTTGGACACACTGGCTCTGTGGCTTGGAAATGGGGATGAGCACCACCCCCTAGAATTAGACACGACTTGACTAAATGTCAAGGGGAACCTTTATGTAGGTTGTAATTAGACTTCTTTACAGGAAAGCATAAACAATACAAAGGTTTCAGTCATAAATTGCTAGGAAACTAATGCCTGATTATTACATAAATACATGTCTACCAGGATATCATACTGATATAAATATTTGTGGTTTAGAGTTCATGGGAATTGTTCTGCAAAGAATGCGGGCTAATTTTCATCATGTCAGTGGTTAAAATCTGCCCAAATCTTGTGACACTCTGCCTACAGATTCTGTCCAGTATGCCAAAAGGGAGGAAAAAAGGTAAATACCAGTGGTGTGTGGAAGCATCCTCATTCATTCTGTATTTGAATAAAAGGCATACAGATGGGGCCAACCTGCTCTATATCTATTAGCAGACATTCCACCCCAATGCATTCTTGCTCTTGTATGTGCGTTTCTGGATATTGTTTAAAAAAAAAAACCAACAAAAGAGGGACTACAAATGGCTGTAATGGGCTGTGTGTGTGATTCAGTGCCCTAATTGTATGACCTGGCTGTGCAAAGCCCATACAAGAATCATCTTTCCACAGTTCCACACATACTGTGGTCTTAACCGACCAGATAGGCAGGATATAAAATAAATAAATAAATAAAATGGGGAATTATAAGATTTATACTCCAAGAAGTCACAGCCACACACACAGACACACACACAGACACACACACACACACACACACACACACACACACACACACACAGAGTCATTATAGTACAGTGGTGCCTTGACTTATGAACATCCTGACTTATGACCATTTCAAGTTACAACCAACTCCGGTGGCAAAATTTTGCTTCGACTTGTTACTGGAGCTTCAAGTTACTACCAGAAAAAAGGCAGGGAAAAAGGCGGGGAATTCAAACTTCTAACCGTTGGTCGGTGAAGAGGCTGCTTCTTTGTAGCTCTTTCACTCCAGCAGTTAGAGAGTGTGCGTTTGGAGGAGGCTTCGGACTGCCTGGTAAGGTGCTGCTTTTTAAAAACTGGCTGTTCTGGGTGGGTTTTGCAGCGTGGGTTTGGGCTGGGTGGTGGGGTTATGTTTCTATGCTGTGATGGGTCTTGCAGTCTTTGTTTTGGGGGGATTTTTTCGCATTTCCGATTGGTTTTGCAGTCTCTGTTTGCTTTTGGGGATTTTTTATCTTCGGCCAGAACGGATTAATCGTGTTTCAATGCATTCCTATGGGAAATGGTGCTTCAACTTATGACCATTTTGAGTTACGACCATCTTCTGGAACGGATTAAGTTCATAAGTCAAGGCACCACTGTATCAAAATATTTCGGTAACATTTAATAAACTAAACTGAGTAAGGGAACAGAGAAAAAGAAGAATGTTCTGGAATGCAGAAAGGTTTTCTGAACAGCAAAGCGAGCCTTTCCCTTCACCATAAAGCTCCATGAAATGGCTGATGAAGCAGAGAATGTATGCACTGCATGGTGACTTCAGCATCAAGGTTGCATCTTTGGGCCCTCCCTAGTACATTAGTGCTTAGAGTGTCCAGGGGAAATCTCAGGCTTTATGGGGGTGTTGAATTATCACTCGCTCCTCTTTTGGTATTAATAGCTCAGTCTACTATATTCCTTCTGATGCCCCTTTTTCTCAATTTAAGTTAGTGACCATCTTTGTAACCCTGAATGATGAACAAGATAGAGAAAGAACCTCTTGTGGTGTTGCTCTACATGGAGGTGAACAGCAGCTCCTTGCTCCACCCCCACAGTGGAGATATTCCTGGTTGAGTCTGTTTTTGCACATTTGTTTGAAGATAGTCCACATGTCTAGGCTTATTGCTAATCACTTATGGCTTTCTCTTCCTTTCTTTTTGTCTTTAAAGAGAATTGGTCCTAAAATGCTTGATCATGAAGGAAAAGAAGTTCCAGGAAACAGGGGTTACAAATATTTTGGAGCCGCTAAAGACTTACCTGGTGTAAGAGAGCTTTTTGAAAAAGAACGTAAGTAGCTGGATGTGCAGATGCATAAACGTGAATAGTAAATACAGTATGATATGAGTCACCAAGCAAAAAAATTGTATTATTTTCTAGTAAGGCACAATGAATGTTAGATTCTTATTTCTTTCCTGTTTAATGCAAAACATTGTGTGGAATCAATAGAGGAGAGCAGGAAATATCTATAATGTCCTCTCATAATACTGTATATATTTTGCAGTGCCATTACTGCTACCTTACTTTTTTTAACTTTGCTAAATTTAATAGTTTAAATTCAATAGTCCATTATCTCATATTTGCTATCCTGTTCAGAACTGTTTGTGCAGTGTATGAAAATTTTATTTTTCAAGTTATCAAAGCCCCAAGTTTGTCTCTGGGAGAAAAACATACAGTGCCATACAACATGAAGGTAAAGGAATGCTGACAAATTTTTTTTCTGGCAGTCATCCTAGCCTGGGGATAATGTGCCTTTATCTGTAACTGTAAAAACTAGTTTGCAAAAAGACACAACTTTTGAGTACTCTTTCAGGCATGTAAATAGTGTTGCATTTCACAAGGCAGTCAGTGAATAGGGTCAGTATTGTGGTCTTTTTTAAACCGATGTTATGCAGATAAACAAAGTGTATACTCACAATACAAGACCAAGTAACAGGTGTGTTCAAGGTGGCCGACAACCTAATCTTGTCATGTGGAATCATTTCTTAAGAACAAATAAAATCAGACTCTAGTTTCCTATGAAGCAGCACTGCAACTTCATGATCTTACAGATTTTTCTTTAGGCAGTCTTTGGTTTTAAAATACCAAAGTTGATAAAACTTTGAAACTTGTATAGTATTAGTGCAAAGAAGACAACACTTTAACAGATATCCCAAAGAAGAGAAGAAACTGGTTGTGTATTTCGGAGAAGAGGCTGGAATGAAGGCAGAGGTTCATCAGTAAGCGTGTTCCCTACCCCACTGGTTTGATTGACTCTTTGTGAGCACCAAATGTTAGGAGGCTATCCTCTGTGTCTACTTTTCCCCCATTGAGAATGATTTTTCATTTATTCCTTTAGCACTTCCTCCTCCAAGGAAGACACGAGCTGAACTCATGAAGGCTATTGATGCAGAATACTATGGCTACCGAGATGAGGATGATGGTGTTCTGGAACCACTGGAACAGGAACATGAAAGAAAAGGTATATTTGAATAATCTTAGGTTGTTGTCTTGTGTGATGTCATTTATATGAGTGTCCAGATGTGGTTATCTATACTATAAAGAAATAAAACAGTCTGGCTGTTTTCTGATGGACCATATTTTTGTTTTTTAATTTAAAGTCATTTTTTGAACTGTTACCATCTGGCAGAAGGAATTTAAAGTCATATTGCTCCTGAGTATATTAGCCATGCTGTGTTTTCCATTTTGACTGATGCTGTGCATTCAGTACTTCAGTAGTGTTGTTTTCACCTACCCCATATGAATTTCTATATCATAGGACCTTTCACATACTAGGTGAGTGCCTCTTGCTTGGCTTTCCCAGGATCTTAGACAGATAGCTTCCCTATTACCGTGTTTCCCTGAAAATAAGGCAGGGTCTTATATTAATTTTTGCTCCAAAAACCCATTAGGGCTTATTTTCAGGGGATGTGTTATTTTTTCCATGTACAACAATCTACATTTATTCAAATACAGTCATGTCATCTTCTGGTTCCTGCGCAATGGAGGGTGGGGTTTCACTTAACTAGGGCTTATTCTTGGGGTAGGGCTTATATTAGGAGCATCCTGAAAAATCCTACTAGGGATTATTTTCAGGTTAGGTCTTATTTTAGGGGAAACGGTATCTTCTACTAGCTCCTTTCTTGTGCTTTAGATGCCATAGATTGGGCCATGGACTTGAAAGCATATGCTCCATCATTCAGACTATCTCCTCCCCAAAATTAAGGTTCCTCTGGGATTTGTTGACCTGTTCTAATAAGAGGAAACTAGTTTTATATCTTCTGTCATGTTCATGCTATTTATTCAACAGTTTCATATAAGGATCATATTATTACCAAGTCATATGTCATCAGCCTTGATACGGTCACATTAAACTTTTTAAAAGCCCATGTGAATCTATATAAAAGTTGTTCTGCTATGATGGTTCAGATCACGTTTTGATAAGGCTATCAATTAGGAGTATTGGTGAGACAGGTCTTCCTCTATCATGCGGTTCAGAAATTACTGCCAGAAAAATTATCTGTGCATTTTTCTGAACAAGCTTCCTTTCCAGTTTTCTGTGGTAATTAGAACTTCATTTAAGTTTGCCGGTGATCACATGGATATAGAGGAAATCAATTCATGCATTTTGGAAAGGAACATTAGATGAGCTATGGGAAAGAAATAAATAAGCTGCTGCTATTGATTATGTTAATGGGAACAATCCTCCAACAGAGTTCTAGTCTTGTAAGTAACATACTGTTTTGCTGTTTTACTTATTGAATTCATTGGTTGTTCCTATAAATGAATACACTAGTAATTAGATTGTAGGCTGGATGTTGTTTGCCTACAGTTTGTTTCTACAAACATTTTACTTGTACATTAGCCAAAAGCCTATTGCTAAGTATAATAAATTGCACTCAAGTAGGCCCATTTGAATCAATGGAACTTATGGAGGACTTGACTCACCAAATCCCCATTTATTCAAATAGGCCTATTCTAGTGTGATTTACTAACACTAAGCAACAGGATTTTGACTAATGTGTTATCTGGATCTTGAAGTTTGAAGAACATGCATACAGGTAATATGATTTACATTGACTTGCTATCCCTTACAGATTTCTGTCATGGGGGAAAAAAAGCTGGTAAAAGGGATTTCATGGTCATAGTTGCTTAAGTCAGGCAAAATTCTTAACAGTATGGCTGTTTCTCTACCAGTTAGCTGATTCCAACATCTCAGTGATTGATATAGTTATTGATCCTGGATGTAAGTAGATCAGGCCTCCCCTCCTTCATATCTTGAGTCTGATCTCTACTGCCAACTATCATACAAATAATAATCACATTTCACACTTTAGTATTTTAGTGTTACATAGGATAAGTCGAAATCTTGACATCTTTATCAAGCACAATTAAGCCTGTTACTATTCAGTACAATACAACCAATTGCATTTAGGTGATACTCACTCAGAAGTAAGTTCAATTGACTCAGGTTAACTTCCATAAGCTTTTAGTCTGATTTGGTTTTGGTAAAGCCACATTTCCTTAGAAGCTACCTTTGGTGCAGAAAAGCAGCAGAGTTTGGTGTTGGGGATAGCTCCGGTTCAAGAGTCCTTTTTTCCTCAAGCCATCTGTAGTCTTCCCTGTGTTAACAGCATTTTTACTACTTTTTGACTGAGTTTAAATCTTATAGTGGTACTATATAGCTTCTTTGGCAAGATCAATTTCAAAGGCAGAAATGTTATCCCAGTTTGTGAGCATTTTGTTGTAGTTAAAGGGAAAAAAAATAGTGGATTGTAAGGCAAAAATATGGATCCTGCCCCAGTAATAGTTTTAGCATGTACAGTATGCACTTTCTCCTTCCTTTGCATATGTATGTAAGATAACCATTGGAGATTTATCTCTACATACAAACATATATGTTTGCACTCACCTCTACATATTTATTTGTAATCTCTCTGTCTTACTGGTCCCCCAGTGGTCTCATGGTTGGTTCTTGCTTGACTCCCCTGAATGGAACCTGGGAATACAGAGAAGAGGGGATTGGAACTTGTTACATTAAATTGCCTCATGTCTTGAACAAACACCCTCTGATTGGCTCTCTGCTGCCAGATACTGGTTCAGAGCAGTTCAACCACGATGTGTTAATCTGGTATCCTGTAGAAGTGCTGGATTGTTTGATGGCACTTTAAATGAAATCCTTATCTTATCATGGCCATAACAGTGTAGAAGGAAGTTGTAGACACACTAGACAGAGTACAAGTAATGGGTTTTAAACCTGTTTTTCAGGAAGTGGGTAGAAGAGGAAAAGCAGTACTCAGGAAATGAAACATAGCAATAATTCTCATCAGTCAGTTCTTGTTCTCCAATGCTTCAAGGACCTATACTCTCTAACAGTTATGATGCATTTGTATAGGTCTTAACTGGTAGGCTTACAGACAGTTCTGATGAAGATAATACAGTGTTGCACCCAGTCGTCGTTTAGTCATGTCTGACTCTTTGTGACCCCATCGACCAGAGCACGCCAGGCCCTCCTATCTTCCACTGCCTCCCGGAGTTGTGTCAAATTCATGTTGGTTGTTTCGATGACCCTGTCCAACCATCTCATCCTCTGTCGTCCCCCTCTCCTCTTGCCGTCACACTTTCCCGACATCAAGGTCTTTTTCAAGGAGTCTTCTCTTCTCATGAGATGGCCAAAGTACTGGAGCCTCAGCTTCAGGATCTGTCCTTCCAGTGAGCACTCAGGGTTGATTTCCTTTAGAATGGATAGGTTTGTTCTCCTTGCAGTCCAGGGGACTCTCAAGAGCCTCCTCCAGCACCACAATTCAAAGGCATCAATTCTTCGGTGGTCTTCTTTCTTTATGGTCCAGCTCTCACTTCCATACATCTCTACAGGGAAAACATTAGCTTTGACTATGTGGACTTTTGTCGGCAAGATGATGTCTCTGCTTTTCAAGATTCCATCAAGGTTTGTCATCGCTTTCCTCCCAAGAAGCAGGCGTCTTTTAATTTCGTGGCTGCTGTCTGCATCTGCAGTGATCATGGAGCTCAAAAAAGTAAAATCTGTCACTGCCTCCATATCTTCCCCTTCTATTTCCCAGGAGGTGATGGGACCAGTGGCCATGATCTTAGTTTTTTTGATGTTGAGCTTTAGACCGTTTTTTTGCCCTCTCCTTTTTCACCCTCATTACAAGGTTATTTAGTTCCTCCTCACTTTCTGCCATCAGAGTGGTATCATCTGCATATCGGAGGTTGATATTTCTTCCGACAATCTTAATTCCGGTTTGGGATTCCTCCAGTCTAGCCTTCCGCATGATGTATTCTGCATATAAGTTAAATAAGCCGGGGGATAATATACAGCCTTATACATCCAGGCTACTATCAAAATATTAAGCTTTTCATATCAAAAAGGAGGTATTTTCTTATACTTCCTCTGACCAGAGACAAGTGAATATAAATAGACCTGAAACCAAATCAGATATTAAAAAAATCAGTAAATGAACATTTGTCCTTACACAGCACATAAGTTAACACCTTTAAAATAATTCATGGGATAGCAGAAGAGTTCTCATCTAACCAAATGTTCTTTTGCAGCTTGCTCATCTCTATACTGTATAACTGGGAATAGATAACTGTGGTGGATCTAGGGACCAGTTTTAACTTTCCCGTGATAGCCTCTCCCCCATGTGTTTAACGGTTTGATATTATAAATTGGTGTTCGAGTCCCAGTTGGAGTAGAAGCACAGAATCAGTGGGATTAACATAAGCCTTCACTCACTATTCAGCAGTTGATTGGATGAGTATATAATAATAGGGTTAACAATTGGATTTAGACCGAGGTTTCCTGACCACTTTGTGTATTTATTAAAATACATTGTAGCCTATGGAAAATTCATGGAGCAATAATATTATTCAAGTCTTCAGGATGCCACAGGGTTCCTTATTGTTAGTACTCAGCTTCACAGAGCTTGAAGGGAGCAATTGCATCTCAGATTCAAAAAAGGATTCTGGAAGTAACCCATGGCATTAACTTACTTGCTTAATTAACATGTGAAAAAGGAACAATCATGTGGAAACAAAAGTTGCATGTACAACTATTATGCACTGATAGAGTTGGGTTTGCCTTTGTGGATAGAAATTACAGCTCATTAGCCTGATAGAATTATTTAAGTATACGTAAAGATAGAACAGTTTAGTAGTAGACATTTCTGCGACCTTTCATAGCACTTTCACTTACTGTAATAGTGCTGGGTAAAAGATACAGTATGGTGGGAAGAAAAACAAATAGCTAGAGAAGGGTGCATAATATGGTATTTGTCAGGCTTGGATAAAACTGAGTGCTAAGTAATACAGCTCTGAATAATCCAGAAGGATGCTAAAATTGGTCAAAGTGCTGGTATTTATTCTTTTTTAAAAGAGAGAAAATACAGTGGTGCCTCGCTTAACGAGCGCTTCTTTTAAAGATGAATTCGCTTAGTGATGACTTTTTCGGAGCGTTTTTGCACTCTGTTTAACGATGGTCCCTATGGGTGATTTTTGCTTAGCGATGTTGGGACCATGCTTCGCATAACGATTAAATTTTTGGGTCCCCTGTTTCGCTTAACGATGGTTTAAACAGCCTCATGTTTGCTGTTTTTTAAATGTTATAAAGTTAAAGTTGACTATTTAAAATGCTTGAAATCATAAAGTGCACTTAATAAACCTTTTGTTAACCAAATTTGACATTGTTCTGACTCTTTTTAAATTTGTTGTTGAATTTTTTCCCCCATTGAGAGGGGGAAAAATAGGTTTCAATGCATTTCAATTGGGGAACCGTGTTTCGCTTAGCGATGTTTCCTATGGCGATTTTCGCTCAAGGACGGCAATTCGTTCCTATTGGAACGGATTATCCAGTTTTCAATGCATTTCAATGGGAAACCACATTTCGCTTAGCGATGTTATCAGTTAGCGACGAATTTTTTTGAACAAATTAAAATAGTTAAGTGAGGCACCACTATATGGTCAGAGGTCCAAAGTGGACTGAGTTGAAGAACTTGCCGGTTATGATGAGTGAATAAAATTATCTTATGATCAGACAAAAAATATGCACACTTTAAGAATCCCTGTTGTTTCTGAACACAAGGACCAATGTTTTGCAACAGATCTTGAGAGTTTGCTAGCAAGGAGCCTGTTCTTCAGATCTTGACCCATCTGGCATGGGCCAATTACCTTTTGTCTCAACTTTGCTCTTGGTTGGATAAAATCAGGTAACCCGATGTATACTGCTTGAGCTTTTTGTAGAATTGTGAAAAGGTTGCCCTGACTGTTCTTCTGTAAATGTCTCCTTCAGCTCTACTTCTAAAGGAGGGCAGGTTTTGTTTGTGCAAGTAAAAGCATTTATCTACAAGTGGATTCATTAAATATTGACTATCTCATTGCCTCTGAAGTGGGAATGAATTCGTTTTGCCTTAGATTTGTTCAGTCTTTTAAAACCAAAAGAAGTAGGTTCATGCCCTTTGAAAGACCTAGCTCATCTTTTTTAAAAATTATTTTAAAAATATAGCTGAGAGCTTGCTATATCCAGTCTTGACGGTTTGATGTGTTAGTTCAACGCTTTAAATCTAATTCATATGCTTCTTCCAGTTATTGCCGAAGCACTGGAAAAATGGAAAGTGGAGAGAGAAGCACGGCTTGCAAGAGGTGACAAGGAGGAAGAGGAGGAGGAAGTAAACATCTATGCAGTAAATGATGAGGAGGTATGGTACTGGTTTCCAACTTTAAAGTGCGGTTAAAAAAGTATTTTAGGAATGTGAAAAAAGTTAGTAATAGAATCTAATGTGCATGTTAGGAAACTTTGATAAGTCTGTATGTTTTGATGGTTTCATGTACATCACAACTGGAGATTTTTTGCATTCAAGATATTGCTGTATTGTCCTAGCTGATTGGAATTGCAGTTTAACCCTGTGGAGGGCCACGTGTTCTCTACCTCACCAACCATGATGAACACAAATCTTCTCTCCTTCTGCTTCTACTTCCTGTGGTTAGGTGATATGTACCTACAGAGAAACTTGCATGGTTCCAGATGATACTGAATTCTAGCTGCCATAAATCCTGACTATCATGGACAGTGATACGGGATATTGGGATATCGCTAGTCTTTTAATATTTGGAGGGCTACAGGGTTCCTACTCCTTGAAGCCTACTGAGAATATAAACTCTCTCCTTCAGCTTTCTGTGTACAGTGGTGCCTCGCTTAGCGATGTTAATCGGTACAGAAAAAATCGCTGCTAACCGAAAACATCGCTAAGCGTTTTTTTTTTAAAGCCCGTAGGAATGCATTCAAACCCCTTCAATGCGTTCCTGTGGGCTTAAAACTTACCTTTAAGCGAAAATCCTCCATAAGGAAGCCATTTTCGCTGCCCGGTGTATGAAGAATCCGTCCCTAAACACAGCGGTCGGCCATGTTTTTTACCCGGAAGCCATTTTGGAACCACTGATCAGCTGTAGGAAAAAGATCGCTATGCAATAATCAGTAAGCGAAACAGCTTACCGATCATCGCAAAGCGATATTTTCCTATTTAAAACATCTCAATGCAATCGCTTTTTCGATCGCAAATTCTTCATCGCTAAGCGGTTTCTTCGTTAAACGGGGCGCTTGTTAAGCGAGGCACCACTGTACTTTAAATTTGATTCAATTCTTAGAATTCCTCAAACATGGCCATTCTTCTATGTGATGCAGATATGGTGGAGCTCAGTAGAGTGTATGCAAGTTTGAGGTGTTTTTTTAATTACTTGGTGTAGCTGATCATTTTAATAAAGTGTATATAAATTTGTCTACTTGCTTTTTGCCTGCTTAATTTCTAATGAACCAAGCCACACATGGATTAAATCCATATTTTCTGGATGTATTTTCAGTCTGATGAAGAAAGCGGAAAGGAAAAAGAAGGTGAAGATAGTCAACAGAAATTTATTGCTCACGTCCCAGTGCCATCCCAACAGGAGGTAAGCTGCAAATAAAGGATATACAGGTAGATTCAACTTCCAGGGGAATAGCCACATTAGTCTGTTGTAGCACAAATACAAGCCTAAGTATATTATGCCTAAATATACCGGAGTCTATTATGGTGTATGCTTCAGATTGCAGCCATGGTTTAAACTTTACATGAATGAACCTTGTGATCCCATGTTCTTTCTCCCCCTCATACAAGACAATTTGAAACTTCCCATTCTATTTTGCAGTTACAAGTTACAGTTTCCCATTAACTAGAATTAGAAGTTTCTTAGCACCATATAGTGTAGTGGCTAGCATGTTGGACTAGGACTCAGAAGACCTGGGTTCAGATCCCTGCTCTGTTATTAAATTCTTGGGCGGTGGCAGTTGTAAATTACTCCTTAAGCACCTCACAGACCTGAAAAAGCCTACCATAAGACAGGAGCAACTTTACCACACCTAACAACAAAATCACCTTATGGAAGGTGCAGAAAAAAGTGAACAAACCTAAGGTATGTAATTGCTGTTTCTCAAAATGCCCAACTGAATCACAGCTAATCGCAAACCATGGTTTATTGTCATGAAGACAAATTGCAGTTAGCTTTTCGCATCGTTCTCCTTATAATTTTAGACTAATCACAACTTAATGTTTATCCAAACCCTAAACTGTGATTAATCTAAATTCTAGTTGGTTTATAGAAGCCAATTTCATAACCCATTGTTTGCAGTTAGCATGTTTCCGGCAGAACATACTTAAGATGAACTGGTGGCTCTGGTTCATGCAATGATAATTAGTACAAAATGGAATGGAAAACTTCTAAACTCTTTTTGGCATCTGAGGTGAGAAAGGGAGGAGCTGTAAACTACACCTTAAGCACCTCACAGACCTCAAAAAGCCTGTCATAAGACAGGAGCAACTTTACCACACCTAACAACAAAATCACCTTATGGAAGGTGCAGAAAAAAGTGAACAAACCTAAGGTATGTAATTGCTGTTTCTCAAAATGCCCAACTGAATCACAGCTAATCGCAAACCATGGTTTATTGTCATGAAGACAAATTGCAGTTAGCTTTTCGCATCATTCTCCTTCTAATTTTAGACTAATCACAACTTAGTGTTTATCCAGACACTAAACTGTGATTAATCTAAATTCTAGTAGACTTATAGAAGCCAATTTCATAACCCATTGTTTGCAGTTAGCATGTTTCCGGCAGAACATACTTAAGATGAACTGGTGGCTCTGGTTCATGCAATGATAATTAGTACAAAATGGAATGGAAAACTTCTAAACTCTTTTTGGCATCTGAGGTGAGAAAGGGAGGAGCGAACCTGAGGGTCATTGTAGCTTATCATCATAATGCCAAACCATGGATACATCTGAACAAATTCATTGTATCTGTATGTGTTTATCTTAACAGATGAATAAGGTAGAAAATCAAACTTGGCTACAGTTAGATTTATAAATTGTGACTTAGTTTGGCCTTGTGCACTAAATGAGAAAGTGCATTTTTCCCTTCTTGCTGCAAAAGTGTGAGGATTTTAGTTTGGCCATTAAAGAGTGGAGCTGCACATTTGCAAGATACATTCTTGTTCTTCTCTGGAAATACAAAAATATTAAATCTCATACTTGTTGAATGGATTATTCAAAATGGAAGTGTTGGACAGATTTTTGTGTGTGTTTGCAAGCAGTCAGCCTGTTCTTTTGTCATTGGATTTTTGTGTGTGCAAGCAGTCAGCCTGTTCTTTTGTCATTGCTCTGCATGTGTTTGGCTTCACAAAAAGAACAGTAGCTTGTGACATTTTGGGCAATTGTATAAAACCATTAAGGGAAAAAAACACGTGTGTCCTACTCTTGCACTGTATGCAAGAACTCTCTTGGGCTTGGAAGCCTACAGTAAGCTGGCTCATTGTGTTGAGACAGCCTGCTTTGAGAGGAAATGAGACATTAACAAGCATTTTTCTCAAGCCTAGCTTCAGCTCTCTGCAATGCACACACAGTTATACACACTGCAGCATAACGTGCGGTGATCTAAAATCTATTTAAAGGCTTTTTTTCTGGGGGATTTTGCAAGAATTTGCAGAATAGTAATTCACTGAGTTTGTTGTGTTCTAGTTTCTGAAAACTGGAACATTGTTTATAGTAATTTTTAAAATACTAAGCCAGATGCCAGAGTCCATGGCCATAGCAGTTCTTTTTGACATATTGGCTCAAATTCTAAGGATTTGTGTAACTTGTAATTAATTTCAGTTGATTGATGAGGCGCAGGGGTACATATTGGCTGAGCAGTCCAGGTACACAACCCAGACGCATCTTGTCAATTAGCTGCAGTTTGACACAAGCTATGCAGACCTTAGGTAAACAACAGTATGATTCCTGGCCTTTGTTTTCATCAGATAATTCCTTTTAGTGTTCCTTTTAGTGTCTGAGCTAATGAAATGAATTAGTAACATTTTAGTATATTCTTACCAAGGCCGCATATTTTTATTTTACAGATTGAGGAAGCTCTTGTCCGGAGGAAAAAGATGGAACTTCTTCAGAAATATGCCAGTGAAGCTCTGATGGCTCAGAGTGAAGAGGCAAAAAGGCTTCTAGGACTCTAGTATTTCTTGCAACTGAATTGTGACACTTTGGTTTTTATAATCCATCCTAAAGCACCAGATAGAACGCCAGGAGAAGTGACCTAAAGCACATTGGTTCTGCAGAAGTAACATAAAAGGAGAGTGATTTTTAAGCATACTTCACTCCATCCTATTCCATGCAGATTCTTATATTTCCATTTTCTTCAATCAAACTCTAAATGGCTGGCTAGTTTGCCTTAAGCATTCTTTCTCGTGTTGCTTTCTTCTTTGACTAAGATCTGTGTTACCTAGCAGTTTCCACTGGGATAACTGTTATTAAATTAGATAGTAGCATTCTTATATACTTATTCAGTCTGAGGTTGAATACAGTGCTATTTACAAGAAGTCTTATTTAGCACAACCTCTTGTCTGTCCATTTGGAAAAGAAGTGGAAGGCAGCGTCTGCAGCCGCTAAAGAGTCTGTGGTTTTGCCTTTGTGAGAGAATGGAAATCTGATTAACAGTGTTTTAAGAAGCATCCCCTTGGTGCTAATATTCACTTGGTTAGATTTCTGAAGTGGTGAGTATTCAGTAATATTGTGAATACTGTTTTGCCTTCACTATATCACTCAGATAATTTATGTAGAAGCATTTGTTCATGATCTTCATGGTAGCTTGAAAAGATGTACAGTATTTTTCTTTTATGAATAAGTCATAAGACTAAAACTCCTTGATTGCCTTAGTCTGCTTTATCACGAGAGAGAGAGAGAGAGAGAATTTTAAGGACCAAACGTCAAGACAGTTTACAACTTTATGGTCAGTAGTACCCTGATGATCAGATGAGAGTGACTCATACAGCAGATGTGTAAAACTGTTGAAGTTTCAGGCAAAGCTGATATGTTTCTAATAAGCCATTTTGTCATAGAGGTTGTTGTGATACAGTCACAATATACAATCATGTATTAGTCTGATTAAAAAATGAAACCTGTAATTTATACATTGACCTACTTTTCTAGCGTAGCTGAAGCCTAACACAAGTTTATGTAAGCTTTTTTGGTCCACTTAGTTACCCAGCAGCTTAGTAAAGTTTCCTACCAATTTTCACAGATTGTACAGACATAAGGATTCATTTGAAACATACAGATGAATAAACATTTTAAAAACATTAATAAATCCTATCTTTATGTAAATAAAGGAAAAAACTAATAAAAGAATAAGTAGGGGCTGTATCCAGATTTGGTCCATTCTTCATTTTTTCTTCTTTCCCATATCAGGCCTATCTGTGCTCTGGTTCTGTTCTGAAAGATTGGATGGCCAGATTCTGGAGCAAGTTTTGAGTAAGGGTTCAGGGGAAGAGGGAAGATTGAGAAGTCCTGTTGTATTCTTTGATTTTAGCCCCAAAATTAAACCCGTAAGACACACAGAGAATTGGTTTACAGTAATTTAAATTTAACTTATTTTTTAAAATGTATTGTTATATTGTTCTTCGCAGTATAACAAATGTATTGAGCCTTTTATGATAGGATATCATCAGTGAAAATGACCTTAATGCCAAAGCAGTTTTCCCCTGTTGCTTACCAAGATAGAACAAATCTTAAAAAATGGCAGAAATGTTTCTGAGTTTGTTCACAATTTTGCATCCACTCAGGATGTTAAAAAGAAGGCTATGTTTCCTCAGTACAGTATTAGCAAATTTATTTAGATTATTGACTAGTTTAAACAAAAATGCACACTAATCAAAAGTATGCTGATTGAAGGGGTACTTTTTTGTAGTGCTTTGCTTACACAACATTTTATACACAAACAACTTAAAATGTCCAGGGGGTAGTCTATTCATAGACTGCAACCCACTTCATCAGATGCAGCAATTTAAACTTTTTTAAAGGAATCAATTTATCTCTAGTGGTAGTTTTAAATTAAGAGAGCATAAAATAGAATGAAGCTTCACCTGGTTTTACTGTTGAAGGGACTCTGTTGATCTAGGTTCATCATCCTTTGAACTGAGGTTACATTCTTCAGAAGGTGTCAGTCTGCAGTATGGAAGTGTTTCTGAATCTGAATCTTGTGAATTCCTCAGATATGTGCCCTGTTTTAGATGAGTAGTGAAGACAGCCCTATTTCTTAAAACCACAGAGCAGGAAGGGACCCGGTGGATCATCGAGTCCAGCCCCTGTCAAGGAAGCAGAGTGGGAAATTGAACTCCAGTGGCTTCGGCTTCGGGCTACAGAGCCAGAGGCTGGGAGTTCGATTCCCATTGTACCTTTGTGACGGGTTGGACTCATTGAGCCATAGGATCCCTTTCAGCTTTGCAGTTCTGAGATGATGATGATTTTAAAAAAACGTGTAATTATAGTACTACCTGAGCTTATGAACAAGGGATAGCAGCTTTTTAATGGCTCAAGCATTATCTAATTCAGTGGTTTTTAACCTTTGTTACTTGGATGTTTTTGAACTGCAACTCCCAGAAACCCCAGCCAGCACAGTTGGTGGTGAAGGCTTCTGGGAGTTGCAGTCCAAAACTCCTGAGTAACCCAAGGTTAAGAACCAGTGAATTCACTATTTAAGGTACTCTTTGTGAACAAGTTTACAGTATACAGACTACTAAATAGCAGACATTTTCATATGTAATAAATGTCATATTTTATTTATTTATTAGATTTCTACACTGCCCATCTAGAATGTGTCTACTCTGGGCGGTTTACATATAATATAAAAATAAACTAAGATAAAATCTAGATTAATCCAAGATGGGAAAGGAAAAAAGAGTGGGGGGGGAGATGAGGAAGAAAAAGGCCCTGATGTTGGGAAAGTGTGAAGGCAAGAGGAGAAGGGGACGACAGAGGACGAGATGGCTGGACAGTGTCACTGAAGCTACCAACATGAATTTGAGCCAACTCTGGGAGGCAGTGGAAGACAGGAGGGCCTGGCGTGCTCTGGTCCATGGGGTCACGAAGAGTCAGACAGGACTTAACGACAGGACTTAACGACTAAACAACAGTCTGCAGATGTACCCGCTTGTGCTTTCTACCAGTCACAAAGAGACAGAAAGCAAGGGAAACTCCCAGAATCTCTCTCCTGTTGTCATCACTCGGCCACTTCTCACTGGAGCACAAAAACTGGAGCACAAAGCGATTGTCAAGAAGTGTGGCTCTCAGGCAGCGGTGTAGAGCAGCGATGAGTAGGAGCTTGTAGAGACAATGAAAGTGGAAGCAGAACTGGACAAAACACTGAGCAATCCCTCTGAACCCCGGCTCATTTCCCCGGCATCCTTTCTCGTGTGCTTTCCGGCCCCA